CGCCGTGATGACGATGCCACGCTTCCTCTTTATTCTTGCCAGCAGTTTTGCCCCAGGAATATTGCCGTATTTCCTCAGCAGCTGTAAAACGTGTCAGGCTGTTGTCCACCCATCCTTTTCTCTTGACCATACCTCCGAACACCCATGTTTCGTCCATATAAACTACGCAGTCCCCTCTTACTAGGGCCTCTTCCACTTTCCTCAGGTATAAAGATCGCTTAAGGGCGAGATCGGACCGTTCAAAGATGTATCGTTGCCCTTTAAGGATCTTGTAAGTAAAGCCATCAATCTCCACACCTTATCGACGACAGTGTGAAATACGGACAGGCTGCTGTCATTCGCTGGCGCAGCTCCTGGATGGTGACGTCAATCTCTTCCTTCAGCATTGAGTGCACCAGCCGCCTCTCATTCTCACCCATACGGCGCCGTAATTATTCATAGCGGTCATTACCGCTGCTTTCCTGACTGTGCGACTCTTGCAAGCCACTCGCGGAACAGCAGGGCGGACAGGTGAATTACTAATCCGAGTGACCGCCGGTACACTCACACGCATGCCGTGGCAGTTATTTCTGTGATTCGAACGGTTTCACGTGCTGTGGCCCCGAGATGTTCTTTCAGTTTTGCCAAAAACTGCTCCACATTTGCGATGACGGCTTTCGCATCAGGGATAAAAAGGTGGCGCCCTCTGAAGTTACTCAGAACATCAGTCACTAGCATGTTATGCGGTATAGCATGCAATGCTATGCAGAGGCAACTTTCACTGCGATAATGTTGCTCAGCGACTGGTTGCACAAGAGCAATCTCCTGAAAGCGGATCTCCCTTTTCAGTGAAGCTGAGAGCGCAACATCAACACATCAAAACGCACTGACCCCCACTCTAGCACCGTGCACCACTTCCCTGGATGGAGCCAGCAAAAGCGATCGGGCAATAGGAGACTGAAAACGATATCACATATACTATGTGATCTAAATATCAGAGAAACCAAAACAATCTTTGCTCTTACGAAATCACGTGGTGCGTCCATTGCGCAGAAAGAGGCTTTAGTGTCGAAAAGGAAATCTTAACGTCTTGAGAAGGTGTGGGTAGTAGATACTCAGGTTGTTTCCGAATGAAGCAATAAGATTTGCGACTGAGTCTACACCACATTACGCCTCGACAATTGCCATTGTTTATCGACAAGTAATCATATCTAATGAAACTAAAGCGTGACCGAGGTGTAATAGTGGAAAAATTGAAAAATAGAAACTCTACGAATTTGTTAGTAACAAAAGCTGCAGTTAAGTCACATAGTCACGGGTGCAAAGCAGCACCATGAGAATCTAAGAGCTAATGAAGTGAAAAATGGTTTGTTAGTAACAAAAAAAAACCGTAGCACACACTGGAAGCGACTAGTGGTGGAAAGAAACTGAATCAGAACATGGCACAGCAGCATGTCGTTCACAGCAGAAGTCTTTATGGTGGATACTGAACTGAAAGCGTGCACTCTCTGCAAAAGCAGTAAAAAGTTTGTAAAGAAGCAAACTAAGACACTGAAAAGCAACGAAACGGAACATAAAAAAGGGGAGTTCTACCTTGGCAACAGTGATAACTGAAGGCAGCGGCAGGCGAAAGCAGGGGTAACAGCCACACTTCCTCGGCGGAAATTACAAAAATCTATACAGAATAGATAATAATAATAATATAGCAGTGATAGTTTGCATGTCTACCTACAATTTTCATCACGTTCACGAAAACATTCATGAAAACATGACGACTGCAGAACGCAGCGTAAAAAGTCGTAGGTAGAAGAGACGTCAAGCTTCAAAACCGTGCCAAAGTGTGTTCTTCTCATGAAAAGAACATAACAATAGCATAGCAAGACTGAGACACATAAAGAAGAGCAAATAAAAAATGAGCCAGAGAACTCACCAGCTGCCACAAATGGCGGCCACCAAAGCAAACCTTGAAAATTTGGCTATTTGGAAAAACTACAAACTTCAAAACCGTGCCAAAGTGTGTTCTCCTCATGAAAAGGAACACAACAATGGCATAGCAATGAAGATTGAGCCATGTAAAAATAGAACGCACAAAAAATAAGCGAAAATACTCACCGACCGGCCTAAATAACGGACGGACACTACCACAAATCTTCAAAAAACTCATTCAAAAAAAACAACGCAGGCTTCAAAACCATGCCAAAGTGTGTTCTTTGCGTAAAACAGAACACAACATTGGCACAATGCCGAAGAATGCGTCATAACCAACCAGCACAACTTACGGGCAGCTTGGGGAACACGGGTGTAAAAGCGGCTCTAGTCTTCAAAACCGTGTCAGAGAGTGTTCTCAGCATAGACAGGAACACATCAGTGACACAGTAATGAAAAAGAAGCCAAACAGAAGGGGAAATGAGAAAGAAGCAGACAAAACCTGAAAATGCGAAAACAACTAGCAAAAAAAAGCAATTAAAACCACAAAAATCACGTTAACACAGCCACCAAAAAAAGACAATGTTCTAATCTACTACCTAAAGAAGAAAAAAGCAACTCACCTTCTAAAAAAGCGGCCGAATAAGGAACAATTTGTAGAAGAAATGGATCGCCCCTAACCAAGTGCCAGGATGGCGACTGTATGTAATGGAGTCGGCCCATAAGTGATAGCATTTTTTTTCTCACTCGAAATATCGCACCAAAGATGAAAAGTTTTGTCACTGAGTTTTATACTGTTTTGCAGAGAATTCCTAGCCCTTTAGATAGTCTTCTTGATTTTCTTGAAAATTCTCTCTCCATTAATGTTTAAAGGCAGCGCCCGCGTTCATTTGTTGTTCCACGCCTCTTTGGATATCGTAGCTCACCCTATGAGGATGCAGGACGTACTAGTTTCGCAACTCAAAAATGCGAGAGAATAGCGGCGCCCGCTCGTGAAGAGTCGCCCACCTGGCGACCACTACGCCCAACTTCATTTCTAATGGTTGCCTGATGGTGCGGTTGTTCCGCTACTAACTCTCTCCACTTCGAATGGTGAGAGTGAGGTGATAAGGGAAAACAGCTGATATCAACAAGTGAGAACTCGTGCGGCCGCGGCTTCTCTTCGCCTTGAGCACGTACAACCTCAGCTCGGCGTGGGGTCCTATATAGGAACATATCCAATGATTTTTGCATTTTTCTTCACTAATGAACTACTTCTACCTTGTTGTCACTGTCTGAGCCCCATAACTCATCGAAATGAACGCGGGCGCTGCCTTTAAGTGCTCAAACTGGAGTATCAGTCAGTTCGATGAAATTGAGCATTTTCGACAGCCACACTTTTCCCACCTCTACTTGAAAAAAACTCAAACCGCACAGGTCCCGTTGCTAAGTATGTGGCCAAGATGCTATGTCCTTAGGTACTTTAAGTGACTAGAAGATTTCAATTTTGACCTCATAGACAAGCATCGAACCTAATGCCCTATTGTGTCCAACTGAGAGCTTACGGAATTACCTTATTCAAGGAGATTCATGCCAAAGATTGAGGAATCGTTAGAGGTCATGGAATGCTTCCTTTTCGTTATCAACTACCTTCCTCAGTTGATGTTAGACGTTCGAAAGTGTGGATGGGTTTTACAGGCATCCACCCCCAAGAGGGCGCCCCGTGACACCTCTTAATCGCTTGAACCAACTTCAAGCCGTCATAAGACGCATCTCTCTTTGGTCATGTATATCACAAGTTACGAGCTTCTTCTGTAGTTCGGAGCCGAGATAAAGTGCAAAAAGTTGTTGTCGAGAACTTATTAAAAATCGACAGAAATTAAGAAAAGTATGAAGGCAACCATATGCTCTTATACAGCGGAAAGCACTACTTATCGGCCAACCTAATACGTACTACGGTGATCGCAATGGTGGAGTAAATTGCACTGTTGCGCCTACCTCAGTGGTAGGCCCACGCTTTTTGGCAGCCTTAGATCGAGGGCCCTACCAAGAGCAGCGTTCCAGGTGATCCTGGTAATACTACCAACGTGGAATAAGCCTTGGTGGCAAGTGGCCCCTTCGCAAGTGCGCGATCTGACAATGAGGGTCAAAGGAAGGCCCGCAACTACAAACGGTGGCTAATGGAGCTCAGAGCTCACAACAAAGCACCTTGAACAGTGAAGAAAAAAGAACAGGAAAAACTGCCCAGTACGCCCTTTAAACGACCCCCTATCTTGTGCGTCCATCCTACTATAGGACCTTGGGTCCAAGAAGTGATATACAGGGCAGGACGGGAACACTTTTGGTGGGTGACAGAAAGTGACAACAGTTGATAAGATCTGATAAGGGATCTTAGGGAGGGAGAGTGATCAAATCCGTAGCGCAGGCTGCAGCAACGGTGACACCTTCGTTTCAAGAAGCGAAGTAGGGGAGGGACCCGGATATCACTGACGGGTGTCAGGAAGTGGCAGCAACTGATAAGTTATGAACGACAAGTCATCATAAGCGAAATCTGCTACACCGCTTACAACCATAATGCGATTGATACGGTCCAGGTATCAGGCTCTCAGTATTTGTACACAACTCACTCCTGTGCTCTTATGAGTGTTGGCATTATGTATTTCAGATGTATTGAGATTGTTTACATAGCTATCATGAACAATTATCTGCCATCAACAACCTTAGTGAGCGTTATTCGAAGCCTGCCCTGCCGAATGCGGGTGTGCACTCCAGCACAAGACGCTTTATGGGTGGAGAAAGCATGAAGCGGTAGGCTAATCTAACAGGTGCTACAGTCCCATGTAGGTCATGGGGTTTTGCATGTACCAGGCAATATCGCTTACATTAGGGTAGTCATCAATGGTGATAAGGATATGGCGTCGGAGAACAGGCGTGACGACAAGATTTTGTTGTTTGCTGTGTTTGCAGTTGAGTACTCTATTGATGTATGTTATGTAAAACCAGTCGAATCGCTGGGCTGACGCCGAGCTCTCCTCCTTCTTGTATAGTGATGAGTAGGCATGTTCGTATGGATTCTCACTTGCTATTATCATGACGATACCAGCTCTTCTCCCTTATCACCTCACGCTCACCATTCGGAATGGAAAGAGAGCTAGTAGAGAGTTACTAGCTAGTAGATGGGAGCTCATGGGCTTAGCTGTTAAGTTTCCACCCGCGATTCTTGCAATTTTCTACCTTGAATGCAGTGAAGGTTCTACGACCGCCTACTAGATCTTCTGACAGTTTTGAGAGGTCTTGGCCTTGGTTTATCGTGGAACGTGCTTTTAAATCCCGGGTTTATACCTCATCTACCCATTCCCAGGAACAAGAGTTCTCTAAAGGAAAACCAGAGAATTTTGGAGAACTCCGGAGAAAAGATAGGAATCGGTAAAATTGAAGAAGATGGTGGATAGAATGGGGTGGGTGAGAGGGTCGTACCAGAGAAATTGTTAGGGGGTCGATTTCGCAAAATTTTTGCGCAAGGGCAGGAGGTGCCCTGATTATGGTACCACTAATCTAGACCTATTTGTCATAGATGTCAAAGCAAGTCATTAATAAAGATGGAGCTTATAATCGTGATCGTTAAAGACACGTCCGCGATAATGGGTGCAGGTAGTGGTGCTAAAATATGGGAGAGATGCTGCCAAGTGACTCCTCTGTGAAGGGGAAATGCTAAAAGGAACGTCAGAAACGCCTGTAACAGGACTCAAACAATTGTACGGGTGAAAGTACAAGAAACCGCGGTTGGAACAGTTTCAGCAGGTTGACTCCCACTCTTCCGCTAGCATCGTTCTTCTCTGGAAGGTGGCCTCTGGAGGCGGAGTCTGGAGGCGGAGTCACTGGAAAAAGGAGGGAGTCACTGAAGCAATTTTGCGCTTCAACTCCTTGTCGTTACAACTCTACTCGCGAAAATGGCACAAGGTTGCCCACTGCGGTTCACACTGCCCTTTCCACACAATTTTTTTTTGTTTTTCCAGCATAAGGCCCATATCGTGCATAAAGTGCGCAGCCGTATAGGGTATTTGACTCTTGCCATCTCGAAATGTGCGGCAACAATACCAGATCGTATCTCAAGGCAATGCACACCAGTAAGCACGAGAAACACTTATGCGCGCAATCACTGCAGATTTTTCCCCGCCTCTGTGCGCTCACTTCCTGTCGTCGGGCCTATACAATGACTTTCGGGGGCCAGCCGATGTATTAGGTTGGCGGGAAAGTTTTGTCACATTTTTCAAAAGAATATTTATATTACTCTATGGAGACTATATTAGATCAAAGTGATAACAGTTGCGATTCGACTACTTCTTGCCAACGTCCAGGTAGCTTATGGATACTATCCCTCCAGAACTGAGCCTCACGCGAGGCAAAATACGATGCTAGCTCAACTTCGACCTGGGCACGGGTTTTGAACTTCTTCCCATCCAGGTAACGGGTTAGGAAATCGGAAGATAAAAGTAATACGGGAGCGAGTCTGGTTCTACCGGGAGAGATGAGGCAGAACACTGACAACTGTCGTGGTACAGGCAGGCAAATATAGAGCCCTGCTGATCCCTCAACACGAAAAACCGCAATCACAGGTGGTTCAGAGTCCCACCGTAGCCACCAACTAGAAGACTAAATCAAGAAAAAACAAAAAAAAAACAAAGACAAAAAAAGTTCATTCCAAGGGTCCTCCTCGGAAACACACACTGGTCATCACCCAAAGTGCAGCCTTCCGCTCCCCGAAGGTCTAACAGGGTTCAGCTATCAACAAGGGGGAGGTCAGTGGGGCAGGAGATAACCTGCGAGGAGACCCTGTCACCCAAAAAACCAACCAAGGGCTGGTCTAAAATACGCGCCTGACCCAGCCACCAGAGGAACAGCAGCCAGGATTCCGCTGGCCGCCGAGTCGCACAACCGTAGGACCTAAAGCAAAAACACACAAAAAGCCAGACGAGATGGCATGACGCAAAATCTATAGAACAAGCGCGCCATAGTCGGGCCCCAGCCCGTGGCGCTCCCATGTGTTAGCCCCAATACATGAATAAGGAAAGCCCCACAACACAACATAAAATACTACACATTTATTTTGGCGGGAAACCTTGAACATTAACAACTTCATTCTTCTACCTCTCATTCTGCCTAAAAAAAAAAAAAGTATGTGGACGACCAACATCCATCTGACACAAATATTGTTGCGTAGTTCGCGGTAAGAGCGGCAAGGTTACTCTGCCGGCCTGCGCGAGTGATAGTCCTCGTAGCGACAGGTGCTACTCGGACCTGCACTCCACGTGAGCCTGCATTAGACCTCTCTACAGGACAACGGGCAAAGGACATTCTCACTCACCTCGCAGGACGGGTGACCAAGAGAAAGCAACGCTGCGCCGAGTCTCTGAGACAGGCGATTTATACACAATCAAGCAGCACGGCAGCGGAGACATACGTAGCCCCGCAGCTACATAATTGGTTGAAACGAGCGGAGCGAAAGCAATAGTTTTGGACTTAAGTAAGGGCGCGAAACAGAGCTACAGGCGCTCCGGCGAGCGACCAGGGCAACAGTCGCGTTCCAGCGACAAAACAAAACCATAATTGCAAAGAAGCACACGCAAAGCTCCGATTTGACAGATTCGTGAAGAGCTGTGTGCGCGGATACTAGGCGTTGTCCAATCTGGAAGTACGAAACTTGGAATTAGAGAGAGAGATCCCCAAGCCTGTAAAACCTCCATGATATTTCCTATAATACTCAAAATCTGCTACAGAACAGATGCTGCGATGTAGAGGTCAAGCCCGTGATGGCGAACCACCCTCAATCCAGTAGTTGCCAATGACGGAGCCCCACAACACCCACCATACGGACAACAACTCTTCGGGATGCATCTCTCGCAGCTCGTCCTTGCACTCTTCTCCAGGTCGAAACCCATGGAGACTATTCCATGTGAAAGTTGTCGTAATAGATGGCCACGTTCTCATCGCCCCAGTGATGAGATGGTAGCCACCCACAGTTGCACGAAAGTCAGACGCAGGGTCAAACAAGCATCCACCCGGCGATCAAGGTCGGCAGGCTTGAGGCGGTGTGGCACAAAACGGCCCAGTTTTTTAGTTATTCCCAGCTTCTGCAATCCAGCTTCCACAGTGGAATGGTGAGTGTCAAGAGTGCTCGCCATATCCCTTGTGGATTGGAAGGGGTCCGAATTTCAGTAAACGGTCGCCGTAGCTGCCTCATGTCCAGTTCTGATGGGCGTCCTGACCTGTCTTCGTCTTCAAGGCTGTAGTCCCCGGTCGTGAAGCGCTGGTACCACCGCAAGATCGTCCGATAACTGAGGGCGTGCTCCTTATACATATTCCCTGTTTGGGCTTCTGTCGCTTGTCGCGTTCGAATCCGAGAGTGGAAATGAAAAAAAAGGATGATGTGCGCGCAGTGCTCATGTCTTGGTACAATTCTGCTCATCTGTAGAATCCCCGCGCGGGGAGTGAAAAGTGAAACGGGCACTACTATTATGGGGAGGGCTCAGGAGAAGATCAGCATTCCATTGGCTAACTGCTGACTATTATCCGATTGGACGCTAGATCTGAGGACTAGATATGATAGGCAATCTAAAAAGAAATGTGACAAAAACTTATCCCAGACCAAACCACCTTTTAAAAAAAATAACAAGTTCACAGTTTGGGGTTTTAGCTCCATCAGACGATGTCGTTACTGTTTTTCTCGTTCGCGCGCTCAATGTTTCCTCAGTACAGGCTTTCAGTTGATCAAAATCAACTGCTTTTGTTTAGTTTTTTCTCCTCTGATGGGCCAACTTGCTCCAACAGAAGCATTTTAAAGCCGTTACCACCATGCTGCACTCTAAGGAACTTACTGCGAATTCAATCCAAAGCAACATGTTTCTTTTCGAAGGATGAACGACAAGACGTCGACTGAGTGAATGATCCAAATTGCTGAGGCATTTCAAGATACCTGAAAAGGACAAATCGATATTCCATAGAGATGAAAGAGGAGTTCTTGCGAATAAATCTGAATTTTCAACGAGCACAGGACTCCATGCGGATAAGATCAAGTTCTGCCTTCACTTAGATGTGCCTTTGGCCCAGCACGGGGTATGCAATACCAAAAATGGTAAAAATTAAAAATTCTCAAAGCTTCCTGTTTCCAGTTCAGAAGCTCCAAGGTTTATTCCCCTTGCCCACTTCATTCCAATATTGTTATCCCTTTCAAGATAATTTTGACTCTGCTTCCTGAATAACTCTTTCACCATGGCAACCACTTTGCGGCCCTTACCCTCTGTGGCCCACCCTTTGCCATACCAGTGACATACCCAGCAAGCTATGAGCACAACGATTTTTAGTATATGCAAACACAGAGAATTAAGCCGCCCGTGACCGCTCGCTCAATTCCCGGGTGGTGTTTGGCCTACAGCTACGGCTGGACCCAAACGCTGCCACGTCCAGGAAAGAATATCTTATCACTTTGCATTCTCAGAAAACGATCTGTCGCAATATGCTCTACGCCTACATCATGTTGTATTTTGTAAACTTGGAAATATTACCTGCCATAATCAGAGCAGACTGGGACTGTATATATTGGGTTAGTGCACTTCGGTATTGATCCAGATTCTGAAAGCATAGAATGGCTTGGGCAAACGGGTGACAGCAAACAACGATAACGACCATAAGGTCAGAACGAGTCAACTTAACATGAAGACTATTGTTTCCACCACTTTTATCGTCAGCTACCTCTGGGCGCAGGGTAGGACGGACGGTCATAACAATCGTAGGCTCGCTACGACGCCTAAACACGCCTAGCGGTGGCGGACGCGGCGATTCCTGGGCTAATGCCGTTTGGACTCCAGCAATTTCGGCACCGAGCTCATTTTTAAATTGCCTAAGTCACCAAATCCGCTAAAAACTTGTATATAGGGGTAGTTTAACATCCTGATTACGAATATGACATTCACTCTTGTCGCTGGCGCCAAGAGAGGACACTACGATTACCTCCTGGGCTCAGCCTTAGCAGAGCGCAGATAATCGTAGTGTCATCCATTAGCGCCAGCGACAAGAGTGAATGTCATATTCGTAATCAGGATGTTAAACTACCCCTATACAAGTTTTTAGCGGATTTGGTGACTTAGGCAATTTAAAAATGAGCTCGGTGCCGAAATTTCTGGAGTCCAAACGGCATTAGTCCGATTCCTGCACGTACGTTCGAACGCGTTCATACTTCGCGACTTGGTCGCTCTGATCGCGCGAATTTGGAAGCACCGATAGGGCGAGCGATCTGGCCGCTCTGATCGCTTAATCTATGTGGTCACTTTGATCTCGCGAGCGGTTTCATTGGCCTGATCGCGTGATCGGAAGCGATCGGCGAAAGTCGGTTGGCGCGGAGCGCAGAAAGACGCCGACTGCGCGAAGCTGCGAGAGATGGACGTGTGGGGACAAAAAAATTTCCTGATACACATATAGATTGAATCAAAGTCTCTAAAGTTCTGAAAAATTCCTATTTATGCCGACCCCTTTCAAAACAAGGTATTGTAAGTGAGGTCAGTTTAGCAGGTGGGGTTGAGCGAAACCAGTCTACGTGAGTGTTGAGGCATCGTAGTTGGGAGGGGGGGGGGGGCACTCGGCAGCGCTCGGCCGTTGGCTTTGACTGTACGTAAAGCCCCTTCCCCAACCAATGCTCAGCTTCCTAAGGCCAGGTTTGGGAGAAGGACCACTATCTCGGTGGGGGGGGGGGCGCAGACGTGCCACCCGACTCATATCGCCGTGTGGTCAAGTATGCACATCTGGATCCCATCAAATTTGCCTTTTTCTCCATGTCATGTCTACGAATCTGACGTCCTATTTGACTTTTATGAGCAATGAACAAATATTTGTTTGGATCAAAAAGTATGGAGGCCCGACGCATAGTCGTGCATTGGTTACCCTTATCTCGTCTATTTATAATCTCTTCTCTGATGTCATAATTTTTTCCATATAAGAAGTATCAATATCAGTCACGAGGCGTGCAAGATAGCGACAAACAGGTGGTAGTGGAGGGAATGAGGCCGAATAATGCCTAATCTATCCGCTACGCAAATGCGCGCCCAACCGTTACGCGGCGTGGACACAATAGTGTATAGGAACGAAAAATTTTCTCAAGAAAATGTTATGTTATGTAAGGGAATACGTAAAAATTCGTTAGTTAATATTTCTAGTCAAATTAAGGGCTAATGGCTAATTCTCATGACTCCATCTTAAAACAACGCGTATCGTGACTGCACCGTGATTTGGCCTCAGATATCTCAAACATCGATTAGACATAGTCAGAGCGTGAGATTTGTGGACAACGAGTAAAAAAGAGAACGCATAGTCCGTATCGCTGATTTTTGCTGACTCATTGAGGTCATTATCACCTTCGCAGAAAACCTGATAAACAGGTTAACTGCTCCGTTTTTCGTTCTGTGATGATCAGTAATATATTAAACATTGATTACCATCGTAAATGCCTACAAATAAATAATAAAAGCAAGATAAGATAGTGTTCTCGAAAAATACCGTGAAGTTGTCGTGTCATGCGCAATGTACGTGAATACGGACCTTATGATGACAGCTGCCACCAATTGAATCAAATTGATTTCCCCGTTTTCCTTCATTTTCATTGTACTGAGTGGTGCGTATTGCCCTAACTACCTGGTTCGTGAACTTCGAGTGGTTTCGAAATACCTCAAAGATTATTTTCATTCAACGCGGCTTTTTTCTACCATTATTTCCCATGTTAATGTCGTTGCGTAACGATGTCTGGTAATCTTCATATTCTTTCTTTTGAAAACTCTGTAAAATAGGAGGGAAATGCAGAGTTCAGCTCATAAACTGATGAAGCGGTTGTAATTGCAATCGCTCATTGCACTCTTTAACAAAACCTAGTTGGAAAAAGTAAACGGGTTTCTTTTCAAGCTTACCGCTCTTTGAACAGTGTTGTACAAGCTCATTCACATGTTCAAGTCTATGGATGAATCCGCATTTCTTTTCATTTCGGAGTGAGTGTTGTCATTTATCAGGTCGTGTTCACGCACTGGCTTTTAACAGAGTTCAAAAAATCCGCGTGTAGGATTTGATACGAATTGATTGGCGAAATCACTGATGCTGAAGGAGATAAACTTCATTCTTCTTCCTCTAACCTCTTGAAATAGCTCTCTCGCTACTTTCTTGGACAGCCTCATCTGGGTGCAATAGTTTCTATAGCACGGCTTGCACAGGGAGCTTCCTAGGACTGTCATCGATGACATGAGCATCGTTTCCTTGCAATTTATTCGATTTTTCTGAGTACTGAACGGCATTTGCGCTGGATGGGTGAAGTCACGGGATGAGGATTAACCCAAGTGTGGGAAGGCGAAGAAGGGGCTAAGTTGTAGATAAATCATTTTACCCAATCTGGAGCTCCTTTATACGCTAGGAAAGTACGTTCCTTTACCGCTTAGTATAGAATAAATGTGTTCGTGTCTTAAAGGCATGCCCAATACTAATGACAAGATGATAAATAAAGTGAAGAACAACCCAGTAAAAACCCGCCCAGTATGCTCTATATAGTACCCCACACCGAACCGCGTTCTACGTGCATTTACGAGGAAAGGGCGTGGCTGGACGAGTTCCTACTTGTTGGTTCAAGCTCTTTCTCCTGGTCACATCCCTCTTACTATTCGGAATGGAGGGAGCTAGTAGCGCAACGACCGCACCCATAGAAAGCCTTCAGAAATGAAAGTTGGGTGTTGTGCTGGGCAGTGGGCGGGGCGTCGCCTTCGTCGTATTTTTTAGCTGCGAAGGTAGTGCATTCTCCATGTTTGCGGAGCTACTTTGTCCAAAGAAGTTGTATGAACATCACATAAACGCGGAGCCTGCCTTTAACACCCCTCTGCGAAATTGAAGAATCGACAAAGTGTAGTGAGTGGAT